GCCTGGGTCGGATTTGAAAAAATCGGATTTGTCTCGTTCAGACTGTCATAAAAAATTCTGATAAGAGTCAAATGGGTCAAAAAAATCGGATTTGGGTCGGATTTGCCTGCAYTGTGAACGTAGCCCCTGAAGCTTTGAGGCTTGTCAATGCGTAATTTGGCAAATTCTGGCTTTTTTATGATTTGGTGTCCTCCTTGGTCATCTTCCATTAAGTCCACTTTGGCTCAAACAACAACGGATGGTGTGATGTGACCCTGATGTTCCTCGAGCTTGAAGTGTAGTGTCTGTCTCTTTGATTTGTCATCAGTTTTCATCCTATGGCCACGTCCAGGGAGGTTGGCTACAGTCCCACTGATCTTAAATTTCTGAATATGTGTAACTGTAGTCACAGAAACCTGAAGCTGTTTGGAGATAGTCTTATAACCTTTACCTTTAACGTGCTTGTCTATATATATATTTTTTTTCTAATCTCCTGAGACAACTCTTTCCTTCACTTCCTCTGGTCCATGTTGAGTGTGGTCCACAGCATGTCACCAAACGGCACAGTGAGTATCTGTAACCATATAAACAGGCCCACTGACTGATTACAAGATTAAAGACACCTGTGATGCTAATTAGTGGACACACCTTGATTTAACATGATCCTTTGGTCACATTATGTTCAGGGGTACCATCATTTCTGTCCAGGCCTGTTTCATGAGTTTTGTTTATTTATTTATTTTTATTCTGCTGAAGCATGGCTGAAAAGAAATGTCTGATTTTCATATGTTCATTTTCATAGAATTCTTATTTATTACTTTTTTCAAATTGTAGTTATTTCTGTGGCCATTGTGGGCTTTTCTTTCATTAAACAAGGGCTACCAACAGTTTTGTCCGTGTGTGTAGCTTACTAAAGAGCAAGTGAGCTGATGCTACCAACCTTGCTTAGCTGGGCTTTGGCCGCTGGGTAGCTTCAGTTGCTGTGTCGTCACAATCTCCAGTCCTTCTGTAATTTTAATAGGCCTAGGTAAATTTTGCAAAATTCCTTAAGTGAAATTGATATTCTATCGAACATATTTTCTGATATTGATCATGTGTCTATCGCAGTATAGATCATTATCGTTTTATCGCCCAGCCCTATGTTCACAATAATTTTACTYTTACTGTTATTTCCTCTTTGAACTTCCCCACAAGTCAATCCAACCAATCACAGCTTACCTGAACTACTCACACACCCAAGAAACTCCCACTTAGTGACTGCAGAGACCATTTTTTCACAAACTAAAGGWTAGAATGAGCTGGTCTTTTCTATTCTTACGTTTGGCAGAGTGTCCAGCGCAGCCTTTGACAGCGTGCGTCTGTGGACCATCGTGGCGCTGTGCGTGCTGCGGCTGGCGCTGACTCGTTATCACCTGCAGGCCTACCTCAACTTAGCTCAGAAGTGGGTGGAGCAGATGAAGAAGGAGGCGGGACGGATTGCTGCCATTGACATCCAGAGGAAGGTCAGACCCACTTTATTTTTTTATTTATTTAACATCTCGCCTGCTGTATTTATATTTTTCTGTCCTCCATGACAGTTTCAAAATTGTAAACCAACTGTTTACATATTCCAACAATAAATGGTTTATTTGTTGTTTCTTGCAGGTTACACGTGTGTGTTGTTACCTGACAGTAGTCACTCTGCAGTATTTAGTTCCAGTTCTGCTCATCCTCTTCTCCACTCTGTCACTTAAAGCACTCGGTAAGTAAAATGCAGCCTTTTGTGTGTTTCCAAGCTGCAAAAAGGTAGAGCGGCTCTGTTGCGAATGACCTGTTCACCTTGTTCCCCCATGTTTGTTATGTATGTCCTTCTTGAACGTGTGATCTTCACCGCAATTTCATTCTACATTGCATCTCTGATGTTATGTTTGAATAAAGCTGATTCTGATTTTTCACAAGATCTCTTTTTTTCAAGAAGTCACTGACAAATGTCAGAAGTTTTGTTGAGAAAGTTTTCTTTATTCAAGAAGTTTTTTTCTAAAAAAAATAGGTTAGGGGTCTAGGCATGTTAGTCGCTAGCCTCTTTACTGCTAAAACCATCTTATCCATGCTAGTCACTAGCTTCTCCACTGCTAACACCAGCTTATCCATGCTAGTTGCTAGATTCTCCAGCGCTAACGCTAGCTTTTCCATGCTAGTCACGATCCTCTCCAATGCTGAAGCTAGCTTATCCATGCTAGTCACTAGCCTCTCCAGTGCTAARYCCAGCTTATCCATGCTAGTCACTAGCCTCTCCAGTGCTGATGCCAGCTTATCCATGCTAGTCACTAGCCTCTTCAATGCTAAAGCCAACTCTATACTAGTTTCAAGTCTCTCCGGTGCTAACACAAATGAAAAGTCTCCTTCTCATTTGCCAGCGCCGGCCTCTCAGTTACGGTACCAGCCTATCATTTATCAGATCAACAGCTGGCTTAGGAACAGATATAGCCTTCTGCTACAAGGTTATAGCATCAGTTAGTTGAGCGAAAGTCTTAATTTTGTCCATCATATCGCACCTTGCAATCATTATTGGGCTAAACACAAATAATGACAGAAGTTGTGTAAATGTTATCTAACACAAGTCTTAGTTGGAATTAACATGCTGGGATTTCTTGCAGGAGACTTCTCCTGGGGTATAGTTACTGAGGCGACCCCCGGGGTGACGCAAGCGCCAATAATCCCCACAGCAGCTCCTGTGCTGCCCGGTGGTCTCGACGAAGATGAGGAAGAGGAGGAGGACGTCCAGGCCACAGTAGCTCATCTGTTGGAGGCGTTCACGGCGCTGCGGGCCGTCTTGACTCCTCTTTTCTTCCGTGGTTTGTTTGCGTTCTTCACCTGGTGGGTGGCTGCCTGTCAGCTCATCAGTTCTCTGTTTGGCATTTATTTCCATCAGTACTTAATGCAGAACTGAGGAAATCAGAACTCCGTAGATCCATCCCTAACCTAAAGAGACATTTTCTGAAAATACACAGATTGTGTGTTTGTCTTTCTGTTAATGAGTTTGATTAATATAGGACTGCTAGCATCAACAACACAAATATACAGAAAGCACAGGGGCTCAGATCACAAAGCAAGTTCAGTGTTTTCCATTTGCTACTGTTTTTTTTAAGGTTTTTCTACAGAAAATGTAATATGGACAGCTTGTTTAGCAGAGCAGTAGCATTTTTTCCACATCCTTTCTTATGTGCTCCAAAACTGCAGAGAAAACCATTCATAACTAGCTGCTCAGATTACAAATCAGAATGTGGGTTTACTTTTTTTTGAAGGATCCCTTGTTAAGTTCACAGAAATGTTTGCTTCCATGAAATGAAGTTCAGTCAGTTTATCAAATGTGATCTTATTTAATCAAAGTAGCACTGAGAAGCTTTGCTGTCTTGCGTGATGCCTAGTTCATGGGAAAAATATTGTAGAAATTAATTAGTGTCATAGCTTTGAATTCTATAGCATAAAAAATTTAAAAAACACAGACAGCACCTCATTGTTGCCTAATAGATGCACCTACAACTCCCAGCCAGTGGGGGGTGCTACAGTTCAGGGCTTAAGGTGCAAATACCAAAATTTCTTTTCTTTTCTTTTTTTCTTGCTTCGTCTCAGCTTATTTCCTGAAAACTCAACGATATAGTTTTATATGGATTTCTGTGGCGTTACAAAGAAAACATTTGCAAAAAAAACTAAAAACCTAATAAAAAGTGAAACATTTGCAGCCTACACCTGTAAGAGAGCTGCAGTTATACAAGCATTTCCCTTGATTTAAGGCTGTAGTATGGGTTTTCTGCTTGTTTCAATTACACTATTGGCTGGTTTTATGTGAAAGATTCATAAAACCTGAAGTCAGGATGGGACACTGCCTCGGGGAAGATTCTGCTGGCTTCTTTAGATTTGTTTTGTGTGTGTGTGTGTGTGTGTGTGTGTGTGTGTGTGTGTGTGTGTGTGTGTGTGTGTGTGT